TCTATTGGCCCAGTGGTAAGAATCTTTATTTTCTTATGTTGAGATGAAATCCTTACTGCAGACTGCAGTCCTTGACCTTTTGCAGCATATGCCAGGTCCTCTTCATTTTGGCAAACAAGGTTGTGTTATCTGCATAGCACAAGAGGTTGATGAGTCTTCCTTCAATCTTGATGCCATATTTCTCCTCTTAAGGTCCAGCCTCCTGAATAATCTGTTCTTTATATAGACTAAAAAGGTATGGAGAAAGGAACCATCCCTGATATTATTTTCTTGATTTTGAAGCATGAAGTGTTTGTTCGGTTCTGAGGACTGCTTCCTGGTCCAAGTATAGGTTTTGCATGAGAATAATCAGGTGTTTTGGGATTCCCATTCTTCTCAAGGTCAATCACAACTGTGACCCACACAGTCAAAAGCCTTTGCATAGTCAATGAAACAGCAGAATGCTCTGCTTTTAGTCAAGGCGCATCTGGCATTGTCGATGACATTCCTAGTGCCACAGTTTCTTGTAAACCCACCTTTCACTTCAAGTAGTTCTCTGTTGATACACTATTCCAGTCATTTTGGGAAAATCTACAACATGATAGTGCTTAGATGTGATATCAGTGATACTATTGTAGTAGTTGTAATGATCAAAGTAGGAATGAGTGATTATCACATTTTTGAGACATTGCAACATCTTTAATGTGATTTGAAATTGTCTATAACTTCTGTTATCACTCATATTTATTAGCAGTACTGACTCATAGCTGACCCTTCATTGAATTTCTGAATCTGTAAATTCCTTAGGAAAAGATTGCCTTGGTAAATCACTGATGATTCAAACGGCATAGCCTCTGGGTTAGCAGTCTACTCTTCGTGGACTATACCACCAGATCTCCCTTTTATGACTATGTTGTAGTCACAGATACCACTAATATTAATATGCCTTAATTCCTACAGTCATAAAAAAAGATATGCCATATTTCAGTTATAAGTTAGTGAAAATAAAGGTGATTTCATATCCAAATTAATGGTAAATTTAGATCTTATAAATCTCTACTGATGGTTTGACTGCTTCATACGCATATGCCACTATGTTGGTTATTACATTATATACTGAGTTACACTTTATTTTTTCCGAAGTGTTTTAATTTTCATCCTACATAAATGTTGTTTTTAATTATTAAATTAGCAAGGCCAAATCTATAATTTATTTAAAAACGTCCTTAATCAGTGGGTAAAGAAGAAATGACCTAAGGAATCACAATCTAAAAAAAAATACCTCTTTCTCAAGGCAATTTAGTAGCCTAGTGTGTAGAGAGTTATAGTTTCAAACCAAAAGAAATTGGATCAAGTTCACTCACTGCTTTGTAAGAAAAAGATGAACAATCTCCTACTATGTAATTTAAAGCTTAAAAAAATCACACTGCAGGATCAATTATGTTTTGTTTTCAACTTGATGGCAATGAGTTTTTTTTTGGGGGGGGGATGGTTTTCTTGTTGGTTTTCTTAAAATGGCTAGCAAAAAAGGAAAAAATATTAAGATTTATGCTACTTCTTATTGCTGTTATGTGCTGTTGCACTGACCATTGACCCTTCTTGTCCTATCCAGCTCCATTATTAATATCTTTCCATGTTCTAGCTCATTGTTAGAGTTACTGTGTGACTCGGTCTTGTTGGAGATCTTCCTCTGACCCTCCAACTTTCCCAGGATAATATCTTTCTAACCACTACCTCATCCTGATCAAAAACCATAGCCTTCAATACAGGTTACATCTCAACATTCAAGAGGCAATTATATAAAGATCTCTGGGCCAACGGACAACATCATGCTAGACAGAGAAAAGACTGAAACTTTTCATAATTTCATCTTAGTTGGATTCACAATCAACCGCCTTGATGTCAGCTGTCAAGAAATAAAAAATGTGTTGTATTGGGAAAATTTGTTGTCAAGGGCCTCTCCAAAATACTAAGGTTCAAGAATGTCAGTTTAAAGATTAGGTGTCTACAATGATAGCATTATTTTTTTTTATAGCGTTATTTTTTGTCATCAGCAGTTCACCCAGGGGGAAAAAAAAAAGAAAGACTTAAGGTGTACCTGATTAAGGCATGGTCTTTTCAATCACTTGCTATGCATCTGAAAGCTGAACAATGAATAAGGATGACGGAAGACTCTATGGCTTTTAGCTGTGGTGTTGGAGAAGAGTACTGAATATCCCATGGACTGCCAAAAGAACAAAGAGATAATTCTTTGATAAAATACAATCAGAGTGATTCTTGGAGTCAAAGATGACAAAACTTCATCTCACATTCTTTGGGCATATTGTTAGGAGAAGTTAGTCCTTGGAAAGGGACATCATGCTTGGAAAGGTCATTGAAAGAAAGGAAAATACTCATGAGAGGGGCTGACACATTGACGATCATGATGGGCTCATGTATGTCAGACATGATGAGGATGTCACAGAATAGGGCAGAGTTCAGAGCTGTATTTCATAGGGTTTCTATGAGTTGTACTTGAATTGACAGCATTTAACAAGAACAGCAAAACCTTTTCCTGACAACTCACCTAAAGTATGAAAGACAAAATGTCATCATTCTAGCCTCTAGATTATCTCTGGTGGCATTTCCTCTAGATTGGTTTGTTAGGGTTTGTTTTGCTATTGTTGTTATCATTATTATCAGCACAGAAATGTGTCAATACCATATTTCAAAGGGATTTATTCTTCCTCTGCCATCCATAGTCTTTGTCCAACATTCAGATGCACAGGAAGCCATTAAAAAGACAATGACTTGCATTAGCCACATCTTAGCCTTTAAACTGACTCCCTTGCTCTTTGTGTTTTGGAAAAGTCCTTGACAGCAGATTTTCCCAACATAACTTGTCATTTTATGCGATTTGGATTATACACCTAGTTTCAGTTATAGATGATTCAATATTTTTTTTTCTCAAGAATTTAGAGTCCCTGTTATTACATGAATCTATTTTAAGTTGTGAAGTGAGGTAGCCACCACCGGAAAGTGCTTTCTCTGGAGTTTTTCTTTACATAATGACATGTTTCAGGCAGTGAGAAACTAGTGAGAAAAGGGACAAGCTGGAGACCTATTTCTCAGCTGGATGGAAAACTAAAGGTATCTTTCTTTAGTAAAAATCACAATGCTATTTTCTCAATTGCACATAAAACACTGAATGTCTCAAAGACACTTACATAACCATAATTCCAACGAGGTAACTGATGTCATTTTATGACGTCCTCCCTAAGTCTGAATATTGGTTATTCTTATTTAAAAGTATTGCTTTCTCTAATTTGCAAGTTTGGACATATACTTTCTTTTTTTAATAGCAGAGTCAATTTTATTTTTATATTATATTGGCTTGAATACAAAATTTGTACACGTTGTATTTCACACTACCCTTCATTCACATTGTGTTTCATTTAATCATTCCCATTCATTGTGGAGTTTTTTTAAATTTTAAATTTATTTTCAGGAAAGTTTACAGAGACTTTGGATTTCTATTCATTAGTTGTTACACTTTCCTCTGCCCATCCATTTCCCACAATTTGCTTTTCTTTTTGAAAAGTAAAAGAAAAAATTCTTTCATTGTTATTTAGTCCCTCCACTCAAGTCCACTCTGTCCACTCCACTATGCTACCTTCATTCTGGACTCCTGTCATAATAATACCTAATCATATATCCCTTTTAGATAGTTCTCTCCCTCATCGGTTTCAATGCAGTATATACTATTTATCCCATCTTTCTCAGTCTCCCTCCAAACCCTATGTCAGTCTTGTTTTATAACAGTAGCACTATGCATTATTTGTCCTTTTGTGACTGAGACATTTCACTCAGCATAATGTCCCCCAGGGTCACCCATTTTGTGTACTATTTCATGAGTTCCTTGTTTTTCAATGTCTCATAGTATTCCATTGTGGACATATACCTTTTTAAGAAATTAAACTCAACTTGATTTGTTATATTGTTCCCAAATGAAATAGATATCTACTAAAATCCAAAATAATATGAGCCATGCATTATATCACAGACTGTGTGACTAAGATGTTCAAAGATACCAGCTTTCAAGGAGGAGATGTAACTACTGTTTTTACACCAAGTGCCAAACACTGCCAAATCCTCTGCACCCATCACCCACGATGTTTGTTCTTCACTTTTATGACTGACTCATCATCTGAAGACCCTAATAAATGGTAAGTGTTAACATTGATATTTAGAAGAAGTAGATTTTACATGATAGTTACATGTTGTTGTTATGATCTGTTGAGTGGTCTGCAACTCATAGTGACCCTATGCACAGCAACTCTGAACCCTGCCGTGAATATAAGACAGTCTCACTGACTCTGACACACCTACTGCCATGGCCCCAGCAACTGTATCAAGCCATCTCATTCAGAGTCTTCCTCTCCTGCACTGTCCCGCCATACTTCTGAGCATGATGTCCTTCTCCAAGAATCATCCCTCCTCGCCATGTACCCAAAGTATGTGAGAGAGAGCTTCAAAATCCTAACCTCCAAGGAAACACTTGGTTTCACCCTCCAAGACAGATCTATTTGTTTTCTTAGTGGTCCATGGTATGCTCAAGATTCTTCTCCAACACCACAACTCAAAGGCATCAGTTCTTCTGTCAGTCTTAGTCATTGTCCAGCTCTCTGAAGCATAGCAAGTAATTGCAAAGACCATGGACTAGATCAGGCACATCTTAGTTTCTAGACTAACATCCTTGTTTTCCAGTACTCTGGAGAGGTCCCTGAAAGCAGAATGTCACAGTGCAATCTGTCTTTTGATTTCCTTAGTCTGGTATCAAGATGTTGATTGTGGAGCTGAGCAAGCTTTAACAACCTCAATCTCTTCTCCATCTAACATGGTGGTGCCAATTAGCCCAGGGGTGAGAATTTTTATCTTCTTGATGTTGAGCGTCAATCCATATTGAAGACTACAGTCCTTCACCTTCTGCTGCAAGCACTTCAGGTCCTTCTCAGTTTCAGCAAGCAAGGTTGTATCGTCTGCATAACATAGGTTGTTGATGAGTCTTCCTCCAATCCTGATGCCACATTCCTCCTCACAAAGCCCAGCTTCCGGAACAATTTGTTCAGCATTTAGATTGAAAAGGTATGAAGACAGGATGCATCCCTGACATACTCCCTTCCTGATTTTAAACCATGCAGTATTACTTGCTCTATTCTGAGGACTGCTTCCTGGTCCAAGTATAGGTTTTCTATAAGCACAATCACATGTTCTGATTCTGGGATTCCCATTCTTCTCAAGGTTAGTTGCAATTTGTTGTGATCCACACAGTCAAATGTCTTTGTGTATTCAAAGAAACACAAATAGACATTCCTCTGGTACTCTTTGCTTTCTGTCAAAATCCATCTGATATTGATACTAATGCCTGTAGTACCATAACCTCTTCTAAATCTTTGTATTTCTGAGAGTCCTCTGTCAATGTACTACTCTTTCAGTCATTTCTGGATAATCTTCAGCAGGATTTTGCTAATGTGTGATATAGTGATATCATTTAATAATTTGCATACTCTTCCAGGTCACCTTTTTTTTTTACTTGAAATAAATATGAATTTCTTTCAGTCAGTTGGTTAGATAGTTGTCCTGTAGATTTCTTCCACAACCTGGAGAGCCCGTCCAGGGTAGCATCTGTTTGCTGAAATATAGCAATTGATATTTCATAAATTTCTGGGGTTTTATTTTTGCCAAGTCCTTCAGAAGCATCTGCACTTCCTCCTTTAACACCATTTTCTCTTGATCATATGTTATTTATTTAAATTCTTCCGTGTCAGCCGTTCTTTTTGGTATAGTCACTCTGTATCCTCCTTTCACCTTCTTTTAATGCTTCCTGGATTATTCAATATTCTGCCCATAGCATCCTTAAGTATTGCAACTTGTGGCTTGAATTTGTTCTTCAGTTCCTTCAACTCAAGAAATTCCATGCAATTTGGCTCTTTTGATTTTCTCACTCCAGCACTTTGCACATTTCATTGAAATACTTTGCTTTGTCTTCCTGAGCTGCACTTTGAAATCTTCTACTATTTAGTTCCTTAACTTCTTGATTTATTCCCTTGTCTTTGGCTTCTCAGTGCTGTAGTGCAATATTCTGAGTCTCTTCTGACATCCATTTGGGTCTTTTCTTTTTCCTCCTTCTTTGTAGTGATCTTTTGCATTCTCCAAGGATATTGTGTTCTTTTTATACAGTTCTCTCCCTCATCTGTTTCAATGCCGTGTACATTATTTATCTCATCTTTTCTTAGTTTCCCCCAACTCCCATATCAGTACTATTATATAACAGTGGTGTTATACAGTATTTGTCTTTTTTTTGACTGAGATATTTCACTCAGCATAATGTCCTCCAGGGTCACTAGTTTTATATAATATTTTATGAGTTCTTTATTTTTCAATGCTGCATAATATTCCATCAGATGAATACAACACAGCTTCTCTATCCATTTGTTTGTTAGCGGGTACTTGGGCTGTTTTAACTCATTCCTATTGTGAACAAAGCAACAATAAACATGGGTGTGCATATATCTGCTCAGGTGGCAGTTCTGGTTTCTTTAGGGTATATTCCCAGTAGTGGAATTACTGGGTCAAATTGTATTTCTATTTCCAACTTTTTGAGAAAGCGCCACAGACTTCCATAGTGATTGCTCCATTTTACACTCCCACCAACGGTGAATAAGGGTTCAGTCTCTCCACAATCTCTCCAGAATTTGTTGCTTGCTACTCTGTTAAATTTTGCTATTCTTACTGGGGTAAGATGATATCTCACCGTTGTTATGATTTGCATCTCTCTTTGAGCTAGGGATTTCTAATATTTCTTCATGTGTTTGTTCGCCATTTGAATGTCTTCTTTGGTGAAGTATCTATTCATATCCTGTGCTCATTTTTCAACTGGGTTGTTTGGTATCCTTTTTCTAATATTATCTTAAAAATTTTTATCAATTGAAGTAATAATTAGAATGAACATTTTTTTTTGCAGAATCTTAAATATTTAATCTATCAAAATGCACAGCCATTAACAGTAGTTAATTCAGCTCACTCATCCAGATTTGCTAGTCTAATTTTGCCTTGAGGCATTCTGGAAAGTGAAAGCCTTCTAATGACTTTTTGTTATTGTCCTTATTGTTGTTGATTGCCTTTGAGTCAAACAAGACTCATAGCAACCCTGTGAGCAAAAAGCCTGAAGCCCCTCTACAACTATTGACGTTTATCAAAGTTCATAGAGTTACTGGAGATTTGCCTTTTAGTTGGAATACTTCCAGCACTTTCTTAAGTGTCTCTGTCTCTTGTTTTGTAGTGCATCACATTTATCTGTATAGTGACTCTTCAAGTGCTTCTCTAAATGTGATGTGTGTTCTTCTACCGTACTGGTATTGCAAATTTTGCATGTATTTTTGTCTTCAGTCTTGAAAAGTTCTTGGCATAGGTATTTTCCCAGTTCATCATTCCCATTTTAATTATTTCCTTTTGTGTGGATCCACAATCAGCACCTATTTGTAGCAGTATCAAGAAATCAAATGGTGTATAACAGTTAGCAAATCTTCTGTGAAGGACTTCTGTAAAATGCTTGCCCAGTAAAATACTCTGTAAAATGTAAAATGTTCTGTAAAATGCTGAGCTCTTTCTGCGTGAGGTGGAGGTTAAGCTTTGCCCACAATGGGTTTCTCTTCCCAACCTTGTTGCTAATTTTTCATGGATGATATTCTTAATATCTTCCCACAGCTTCTCTGGTATTTATTTATTATTGTTCAAGGCCTCAAACCTGTTCTTGGATTGGTTTTTAAATTCAGGAGGGATAGACTCAAGATCAAAGTTTGATTACTGCAAATGTGATTTAACTTTCCTTAGCTTTAATTTGAACTTGCATATGGGTAGTTCCTGGTCTGTCCCACAATCAGCACTTGCTCTGGTTTTCACTGCTGATACTGAACTTCTTCAACAATTCCTTCCACAGATATAATCAATCTGATTGCCCAGCATACTATCAGGTGAAATCTGTGTGTATAGTCTGTTTTTAGGTTTCTTATAAAAGTTATTTGCAATTAATAAATCATTCATTGTACAGAATTCTATTATTCTATCTCCAGCCTCATTTTTGTCACCAAGTCCATGTTTTCCAAATACTGATCCTTCATCCTGGTTTCCAAATTTTGCATTCCAGTCTCTCATTATTATTAATGCATGTTGATGACAAGTTTGATCAATTTCTGACTGCTGAAGTTGGTAGAAATAATATATTTCCGTCTTTTTAGCTCTAGTTCTTGGTGCATAAATGTGAATGATAGTGATATTAAAAGGTCTTCCTTGTATGTGTATGGATATTATCCTGTCACAGATTATACTTCATGATGGATCTAGAAACTATCTTTTCAACTATGAAAATGATCCCATTTTGTTGTCATCATTTCATCTCCAGTGTAGCAGATCATATGATCGTCTGATTGAAAATGTCCCATGCCAATCTATCTCATTTTGCCAATATCTAATATGTCAATATTTATGCATTTCAATTCTTTCTTAACTATGTCCAGTTACCTACTGAAAAAAATTCCATTAACTGTTTTTTTCTATTGATAAACAATTCAGTTGAAAATGAAAAGTTAAATATAACAGGCAGAAGAAAAAGATAAAAGATGGTGTTAAGTAGACTGGGGAAGAATAGATACCATTCTTTCAGTCTTCTCTAGGTCTCACTATCATTAATAAACTTTCTCTTTTCTTTTTCTTCTTTTCTTGTAATTTGGGTTTTTTTTAATTCATTCATTGTTGCATTTTATTCCCTCCCTTCCCTTCTGTCCAGTCCACCTTGCAATGTACCTCTTGTTCCAGGTTGTTGATTTATATATAAATGTGCAGAATCTAACTCTTTCATTGCATTTTCAAGGAAGTGACCTTTCAGATGTAAAAACCAAGCCTTATTGCCACAGGTTTGAACTAACAATAATTTCCTTAGTCTATGTGGGTTACCCGTGGACTCCTACTTGTTTGAGATATAGATGCATCAAGAAGGATTTAGGTGAAGTAGCATGATGTTTTGAAATAATTTAAAAATCAATTTCATTTATTTAATTTTTGTTGAATTATTTTTAAAATAATTTGAAATAACTTCAAAACATCATGTCACTTCACCTAAATCCTTCTTCATGAATTCTTCTTCATAAAATTAATAAGAAATTTAACAGGAATTCCTTATATAATTTAAATTATACCAAAATGCAATGAATAGCCATTAAAAGAATTACTATGAAATTCACGAATTGCATATAGTTGTTTTGTTCAGGCCATGTCTTTCTGATTACTAGCTATGTATCTGAGACCTGGAAAATAAACAAGGATGACAGAAAAAGAATTGATGTCTTTGAGCTGAGGTGTTGGAGAAGAGCACTGAAGATCCAGGAGCACTGAACATGGATGGCCAAGAGAATGAATAGATGTGTCATGGAAAGGGTGCAGTCAGAGTGATTTTTGGAGGCAAGAATGATGAGGCTCCGCCTCATATACTTTGGACATGTTGTTAGGAGATGCTATTCCTTGGAAAGGGACATGATATTGGGAAGGGTGGAGGGTCAGCAAAGGAGAGGAAGACCCTCAACCAGGTGGATTGACATACGGTGACCACTGCGATGGACTTTTATGTGTCAGGAAGTGTGAGGATGGCACAGAACAGAACAGCGTTCAGATCTTTTGTTCATAGGGTCTCTATAAGTTATGCTCAACTCAATAGCACCTAACAACAACAACAGTCATTTTTTAAAATTTTCAGAACATCCATCTATATTTTTGTTTCTATGACATTAACATGGAAGGTTATAAACCAACTCTTACAGACTGTCCCACATTTGTGTCTGATTATTTTAAAAATTTTATTCTCCATTTACTGTATTTCCTATAAATTTGACTTCAATGGTTCCCAAAAATTTTGAGAATGAATAAGAGAGCATTCCCAGGTCAAATATTTCTGAATCTGTCAACACATATTCAAGGTTGTCCTAGTTCAAACCGTAGACCTTTCGGTTAGTAGCTCAACACTTTACCTCCTATGTGCCCCAACATTAATAAAACCCTAGACTCATGAACAGGAGTTGGAAAATTTCCTTTGAATGAGAGAAAAACAGAGATGCTATATAAGTACCTACATAATTTATATAATGGTCTAAAATGCACTGTACAGCTGTACAAAATAAGCAGTGAGTTGTATAGTGTTAGTTTACTTTTTGTTTGTTTTTCAAGAGAGGGTGGTAAACATGTTTTACTTTTTTTTAGTGTAGGGAATTGTTATGAAAAACAAAGTCACAATATTGCTAAGAAAATGGTTGTGTTGACATGAGATACAGTAGTTTATTTCCTTCTCTATAACTATCTTTACTGACTTTTCTGCTCATGCTTTTAAACCATATGTTACAACCCAGTAATATTAAATTTTTTTTTTAATAAAATAGGTTCACTTGTGTCCTGAAAGACAGTGTCACTGCAACACTGCCAAAGATCAACATGTCAGGAGCAATATCTGGATATTCTTTCAAACAATGCCCACACCAAATAAGTGGTAAGAATCTTTCTATAAATTAATAAATACTTGTTATTTCAGGGGGAGAAAGATGGACAACCTCCATCTGTGCAATATACTGCCTCTGAAAACCTGCTGAAGGGTCCGTTATGAGGTGATCCTAACTCAATGGTATATAACGACAACAACAACGACAGTGATTGAGATGTATAGTTATATTCTGTTTTATGATTATAACCCCAAATCCTGCTGTGTGAAAATAAACTCTTCAAATGTAGAACCATTTCAGAAAGTAGCATATGATTGGGAATCAATGCTAATGAAGGAAAAAGTCCAAGCTGCACTGAAGACATTGGCAAAATATAAGGCTCTGGGAATTGAAAGGATACCAGTTGGTATGTTTCAATAAACAAATACAACTTTAGACATGCTCATCTGTTTGTGCCAGGAAATTTGGAAGACAGCTGCCCAATTAGTTGATGGAAAGATATCTGTATTTGTTCCCATTCATAAGAAAAACGATCTAAAAGAAAATGGAAATTTTAGAACAGTATCAGATGGATCCTGGTTGAAAGCAAAAAATACCAGAAGAATGCCTATTTGTTATTTATTTATTATGCAAGATCCATCTGACATCAGCAGAGATATCACTGGCTCCAGGGCCTCTTCTAAATCCAGCTTGAATTTTTGGCAGTTCCTTGTCTATATACTGTTCCAGCCATTTTTAAAAATCATTAACAAGACTTTACTTCCATGTGATAGTAATGATATTGTTTCAAACTTTCCACATTCTGTTACCTCATGTTTGAGAGGTTGGACTATATGAAATGAATGCTGTATCAGAATTGGGGGAAGATTCATCAACCTTTTTTTATGTAAATGACAACCTTGCTTGCCCAAAATGAGTAGGATCTGAGTCACTGATCGCAGAAGGTCAAATACTACAGCTTTCAGTATGGATTACATCTCAACATCAAGAAAGCCAAAGTCTTTACCACTGAGCCAATTGGAAACATGATAGATACAGAGACGACTGAAGTGGTTAACAATTTCATCTTACTTGGCTCTACAATCAACACCCTTGGCAACAGCAGTCAAGAAATCAAATGCCATGTTGGAATGAGGTGAGATCAGCTACCAGGGACTTTTCATAGGTACTAAATAGCAGCAATGTCAGTTTGAAGACCAAAGTGAATCTGATACAAGCCATGGTCTTTTCCATTGAATCTAAAAGTAGGAAATGAGTAACAATGACAGTGGAAGAATTGATGCCTTTGAGCACTGATGTTAGAGAAGAGTACCAAACATTCTATGACTGTCAAAAAAAAAATAATGTTTTGGAGAAGTTGCAGTCAGGGTACTTCTTAGAGGGAAGGATGATGAAATTCTATTTCACATACTTTAGACATATTGTTAGGAGAGGCCAGTTCTTAGAAAAGGATATCATTCTTGGATTGGTGGAGAGTCAGTGAAAGAAAGGAAGAACCTCAGTGATATGCATTGACATAGTGTCTGTGGCAATGAACTTGAGTATATCAGGCATAGTGAGCACGACACAGAATAGATCAGGATTTAAATCTGCTCTTCATAGGGTCACTATAAGTTGTGGTAGACTTGGTGGCACCTAAAAACAACAACAATGAAGTCATTGAAGAGCTCTGATGGTGTTGTCCCTTGGGCTTGTGCTGATAACCCAAAGGTGGCAACTCTTTGGCAGTTTAAATGCACCAGAGAAAGATAATCTCCTCTCATTCACTATAGAGCCTCCAAAAATTTGCTGTAGCATCAACTATGAGTTCATTCCAACTCAATGTAAATGATGATTTTTTTTTTTTACAATTGAAGGGAGTAATTTTAACTAAACTAAAACAATAACACTCAATACCTTTTTCTAACACACACACACACACACACACACACACACACACACACACATCTATGCATTGTAGTTCACACAATTAATTTGCCTTATAGAATGTTATCTCTTACTACCTCAGTTCTCATTTGCTTATTTTCCCTCATCTTCCAAATGCGAAGTTTTATTTGAAATTCTTTATTAAACATATCAATTCAAATCAGATGGAACAAATGTGTTTTGCTAACATTTAACTTAAGATAAAAGAAATATTTTGATAGCTAAATTAGAGAGTCAGTCAGTGGAATGAAAGTGAACAGAGAGGGCAGGACAGAAAATCAAAACAAGAATGAACAAGTCTAATATTGTTGCTTAGGATGAAAGATCTTGGCCTCCTTTACTACTTTCATATGAGAACAAGATTTAAGCAGATTAAAATAAAATGAACGGAGGTCTTTCTGAGGAAGAGAGGACGAGTTAAAAGGATATATCAAGAGGAATATTTGCTGAGGTAAACATTTGAAAGTTGCTCCAGGAAGTGAACTGTATTTTTTTATTATTGTTTATAGCTTGCAACAAAGATGCTTATGTGAATCTAGACATGAAGGGTATGAACTATAAGAGCTCTATTACCACTTCTGCTCAGGAATGTCAAGAGAGATGCACAAATGACATCCATTGTCACTTTTTCACATATGCCACAGAGAAGTTTCCCAGCTTGCAGCATCGGTGAGTAGGCTGTAAACCTAGGTGATTCTGAAAGTACCCCCTAAAGGTATCCAGTAAAAAACTAAAATAGTGACTCATTAAAAAGAAATTTTAATCCACTTCTTGTTAAAATATATAATTTAAATCCTAAAATATTTTTCTATCCTTGCTATACACAGATAGTTTTTATCACAAAGAAATCTTGAAAGCCAAGTTTTGCTTTGAATATATGGCATTTTATAGTAAGGAGTCTTTTAATGAACTGTTATCATAAAAATAATCCATTTGCTAGCTAACATCAAAATCGCTCTACTTTAAAATGGATATTTTTGTTTGTTATAATTTTTTTCTCTTATTTATTCATTGTTGCACATTTTCCCCCTTCCTCCCTCCCAGCCCACCCCTCAATGCACCCCTTGTTCCAGATGTTCTCATACATAAAATACACAGTCATATAATGCAGTGAAAATGGAAATGTTTTAAGCCATTTAATTGGTCTGATTATAACCTAAGACTTTCTACTTTAGAGTAAAATGAAAAGCATAGATATATAGGTAGATAAATAGATGATAGAGATATATGGATAGATAGCTATAGAGAGATAAAGAGATGGAGATAGATATAAACAGATACAGACACAGAGATATCTATGTAGCAATATCTATTTCTGTATCTCTCTACTCAATTCATTGCTGTTAAGTCAGAACTGATCCATAGCTGACCTTCCAGTAGATAAATGAAAATGTAACAAAATCTATCAAATAGGTATGGAGACAGGACACATCCCTGTCATACACCCTTCCCAAATTTGAACCATGCAGTGTTTCCTTGCTCTATTCTGACGACTGCCTCTTGGTCCAAGTATAGGTTTCGCATCAGAACTATCAAGTGTTCTGGGATTCCCATTCTTCTCAGAGTCAGCCACAGTTTGTTATGATCCACACAGTCAAACACCTTTGCATAATCAATGAAGCACAGATAGACATTCCACTGGTATTCCCTTCTTTCAGCTAAGATCCATCTAACATCAGCTACAATATTCTTAGTACCACAACCCATTCTAAACCCAGCCTAGACTTCTGGAAGTTCTCTGCTGATGTGCTGTTCCAGTCGTTTTTGGATAATCTTCAGTAGAATCTTGCTTGCATGTGCAATCAATGATATTGTTCTATAGTTTCCACACTCTGTTGGGTCACCCTTCTTTGGACTGGTCCTTGGAGAGGGACATCATGCTTGGTAGGGTGGAGGGACAGCACAGGAGGGGAAGGCCCTCTCTGAGGTAGATTGAATCAGAGACTGGGGTAATTGGGATGGGTGGGTGTGTCAGAGACAGTTCAATTGGCACAGAACAGAGCAGAGTTAGGGCTGTTGTACATAGGGTCGCTTTGAGTCCCAAGCGACTCAACGGCACATAATAACAACAACAACTATCAAATAGCAGAGCCAACAGGAGACAATGCTTTGTAAGCTTCTAAATCATGATAACAACCCTGAGAGAAGGCATTGCTGGTTCCAGAATTTGGGGACCATAGTATTGGGTGACATCCAGGGCAATTGGCATTACCAAGTTCACAATGTTCTGTATCCTACAATAGTGAGTAGACACTTGGGTCTTAAAAGCTTGCCAGCAGCCATATAAAGTACTAGTGTTGGTCTTTGCGCTGAACAAAGAGGAAAGGAGAGCAAACTGTTCTGAAACTATGAGCCCCAAAGACTAATGTACCATGAAAACCTCCACGTTCATGATCCAGAGACCACAAGAACCACATGGTGCCCACATACCACAGCTGAGTATTCTAAAAGGGATCACAGCAGAAAAGCCTGAATAGAGTTGGAGAAATAACGAAACAAAACTCAAAATTATAAAAATGGCCAGGCTAACCGGTCGTATAAAAACTTGTGGAACTCCTGAGACTCCATAGTCATCTTTTGAACCTAAAACAAAACTCATCCCATGGCTCAGCTTTCAACCAAACAACTGGCCTATGATAGAGTGACGAAGAACATCACCAAGGCACTGACTCTTTAAAAGAGTCAACTATATAGGGTCAAAAGAGCAGCATTTTCCCCAACAAAAATCACTGAAGGCAGAAAAGAGTAGAATAGTGAAATTAATGAAATGAGAATTGCAGAGAGGAAGTTGTTGTTGCTGTTGTTATGTGCTGTTGAGTCACCTGCAACTCAGTAACTCTATGTACAACAGCTCTGAAGCCTCCCCTATCCTGAGCCAATCTCACTGACTCTGACACACCTACCCCACTGCCCCAGGTCTTCCTCTCCTGTCCTTCACTTAGGTCCCTTCTGGCCATGTGCTCAAAATATGTGAGATGGAACTTCAAATTCCTAGCCTCCAAAGAGAAACTTGGTTTCACCTTTTCTTTTTTTTTT